AGTAATTTTGTATTCTTTACCACACAAAAAGTCCTTAACAACAACAGCGCGTATTTTGACGCGCTTTTTTGATTTCACGAACTAACACAATTGAATTTAATTGTGTTAGTTCGTGATGTGAGCGACGATATATAAGAAAGTTGTATTACGAAAAATAGGAACATGCATATTGTGAAGAATTTCAGACCAAAGTCTCTCAGACCAGTGGTTATCGAGATACAAGCGTCCAAATCAACAGGCGGCCATTTTTAAAAACGCCCTTAAACGGGACTTTCCTCCCATATTTGGGAGGTATATATAGGAGCTAGATTTTATCTAAATTGGTCCATCTTGCCAAATCAATCGAGATAAAAAGGTATCCTAAAATTAATCACGGATCTCATGAAAATGACTCTACTAGTAATCACGAGTAAACACACAGCTGCACCCATGTCGTCATGGATCCGTTGCCATGCTAAACAATGAAAAAGATGAAGATGCTTGTGCAAATGCGGTATTAATGGTTTTCAAGTAAGAACTTTGACTTATGGTGACATGTTGATATGATTTGGATCTTCAGTTGAGGGTTTGCTTGGACAAAAAGCTATTTTGTAGACAGAATGTCTTCAGTTAACATAATGTTAAGTCGAAGTAAGAGGAAGGGAACAGAAAAGAAAAGAAAGAAAACGAAAGAAAGTGAATGAAGGAAAAGGAAAGGAATTAATATTACAAAAATAGATTAACATTCATTAAGCCAATATTAGTTGTACCGATAAAGCTTTCCTCTTTCTACATATCATCTCATTATTAATTATTCAATATTAATCATTCAGTGTTGTCGTTTTTAAGGTCTAGGCTTGCCTACAGTATTTCCTCACCAACTATATTCCCTGGTATTTTGTCTCATGGCTAATTTCCACCATGGTATTCTCCACAACAAATAGTATGGCAGTTGCCTTGTTAGTGAGAGGTTACAGATTTAAGTCCTACCAGAAACAGCTGTTTTTACACAACTGAAAAAGTAACTTTTCGTTAATGACCTATGCTTGATACGATAGGAACACTATATTTTCTTATATCAAATCAAGGGGTTATTTTTCCTGTTGAACATAAGACAATTAACAGAAAATTCACTTCTTGGTAAGCAAAATTAAAGAAAACTTAGAAGAAAAGAAAATATTATCAAAAATGAGAGAATGTAACAAAAGAAAGGAGGATCAGAGCCTAAATTGGTTGGACTGATCTTCCATATGCATAACATAAAATGGAATAGGCCTAATATTAATAATAATAATATTATTACTTTACTCTAATAAGAATAATAATAATAATAGTAATAATAATAATAACAACAATAATGAAAATAACAATAACCTGTAATAATAATAATAATAATAATAATAATAATAATAATAATAATAATAATAATACCACTAACAAAAACATTAGCAGTAATAACTAAAGGCGTAACAAAATCAACAATAATAAAACTAATAGCAATAAGTAACAATAAAAAGAAAAATGAATATTAAAGTGACAACAAAAGGCAGTGTTTTACAATAATTGGTATGTATATAACAGAAATAGTAATAGACAATGGCAGTAATAATGATAAAATCAGCAATAATATTAAAATTATGAAACGTATCAATAAAAAGAAACGTAGCACTGTTATTTAAACTTGGTGATGATAATGATGATGGTGATGCTAAAAATAATGATGATGACGATAACATAATGGACGTTTTTGATATTTGATTACCATATTGTATGTGGACATGAAATGTGGAAGAAAAGTGCAATAATACTGAGAATGCTGATGATAATAATAACGATGATGACGATGATGATAGTGATAATAATAAAAATAAAAATAATAATAATAGTATTGATAAAGGCAATAACATTAATACAAATATATATAAAGGCTGATAGACCTAATAGCCTAATAATAATGTTTCAGTTTTACAAATATTTACAAGCTCTGACTACTCGTTTTGGTATATCAGAACCGAGATTTCTTGTAGCATAAATTGTTCTAAGAAAGTAAAACATTTCGTGTACGTGTTACCTGGTAGGATTTGTTAGCGGGCGATAACTGAATTCTAACCTCAGACCAAGTTCTCTCAAAGACCCTGGGCATTTGCCATAAAAACTCTTTTGAGTCTTTCATACGGTTGTAAACAATGAAGTTCCCAGAGGTTTTGCTGTCACAATAATACCAAAACTTAAGGCATGTATCTCGCTTTATTTTCTCCCAGTATTTGGTAGATAAACTGGCTTTGTCACCTGGAGACTGAGGCTGCGATGCATCGATATAGACGTATATGCCTGCCAGAAAATAATATATGTAAGACAAGGACAAGTTGTTACATTTTACATTTTATCGATTTAAGCTTATATATATATATATATATATATATATACTGTCTCTTA